TTGATGCAGTATGGGTGTTGTTGATGCAGTATGGGTTTGTTGATGCAGTGCGGGTGTTGTTGATGCAGTGCGGGTGTTGTTGATGCAGTATGGGTTTGTTGATGCAGTGTGGGTGTTGTTGATGCAGTATGAGTTTGTTGATGCAGTGTGGGTGTTGTTGATGCAGTGCGGGTGTTGTTGATGCAGTATGGGTTTGTTGATGCAGTGTGGGTGTTGTTGATGCAGTATGGGTTTGTTGATGCAGTGTGGGTTTGTTGATGCAGTATGGGTTTGTTGATGCAGTGTGGGTGTTGTTGATGCAGTATGGGTTTGTTGATGCAGTGTGGGTGTTGTTGATGCAGTGCGGGTGTTGTTGATGCAGTATGGGTTTGTTGATGCAGTGTGGGTGTTGTTGATGCAGTGCGGGTGTTGTTGATGCAGTATGGGTGTTGTTGATGCAGTATGGGTGTTGTTGATGCAGTATGGGTTTGTTGATGCAGTGTGGGTGTTGTTGATGCAGTGCGGGTGTTGTTGATGCAGTATGGGTTTGTTGATGCAGTGTGGGTGTTGTTGATGCAGTGCGGGTGTTGTTGATGCAGTACGGGTTTGTTGATGCAGTGTGGGTGTTGTTGATGCAGTATGGGTGTTGTTGATGCAGTATGGGTTTGTTGATGCAGTGTGGGTGTTGTTGATGCAGTATGGGTGTTGTTGATGCAGTGCGGGTGTTGTTGATGCAGTGCGGGTGTTGTTGATGCAGTGCGGGTGTTGTTGATGCAGTATGGGTTTGTTGATGCAGTGTGGGTGTTGTTGATGCAGTATGGGTGTTGTTGATGCAGTATGGGTTTGTTGATGCAGTGTGGGTGTTGTTGATGCAGTATGGGTGTTGTTGATGCAGTATGGGTTTGTTGATGCAGTATGGGTGTTGTTGATGCAGTATGGGTTTGTTGATGCAGTGTGGGTGTTGTTGATGCAGTATGGGTGTTGTTGATGCAGTATGGGTTTGTTGATGCAGTATGGGTGTTGTTGATGCAGTATGGGTGTTGTCGATGCAGTATGGGTGTTGTTGATGCAGTATGGGTTTGTTGATGCAGTGTGGGTGTTGTTGATGCAGTATGGGTGTTGTTGATGCAGTATGGGTTTGTTGATGCAGTGTGGGTGTTGTTGATGCAGTATGGGTGTTGTTGATGCAGTATGGGTTTGTTGATGCAGTATGGGTGTTGTTGATGCAGTATGGGTTTGTTGATGCAGTGTGGGTGTTGTTGATGCAGTATGGGTGTTGTCGATGCAGTATGGGTGTTGTTGATGCAGTATGGGTTTGTTGATGCAGTATGGGTGTTGTTGATGCAGTATGGGTGTTGTCGATGCAGTATGGGTTTGTTGATGCAGTATGGGTGTTGTTGATGCAGTATGGGTTTGTTGATGCAGTATGGGTGTTGTTGATGCAGTATGGGTTTGTTGATGCAGTATGGGTGTTGTTGATGCAGTATGGGTGTTGTTGATGCAGTATGGGTTTGTTGATGCAGTATGGGTGTTGTTGATGCAGTATGGGTTTGTTGATGCAGTATGGGTTTGTTGATGCAGTATGGGTTTGTTGATGCAGTATGGGTGTTGTTGATGCAGTATGGGTTTGTTGATGCAGTATGGGTTTGTTGATGCAGTATGGGTGTTGTTGATGCAGTATGGGTGTTGTTAATGCAGTATGGGTGTGTTGATGCAGTATGGGTTTGTTGATGCAGTATGGGTGTTGTTGATGCAGTATGGGTTTGTTGATGCAGTATGGGTGTTGTTGATGCAGTGTGAGTGTTGTTGATGCAGTATGGGTTTGTTGATGCAGTATGGGTTTGTTGATGCAGTATGGGTTTGTTGATGCAGTATGGGTTTATTAATGCAGTATGGGTTTGTTGATGCAGTATGGGTGTTGTCGATGCAGTATGGGTGTTGTTGATGCAGCATTGTCTTTTTCTTGACCAGCCTTGTTTATCCCAAAGGGACGGCAAAACCAATAAACAAAGTACTAATTTATTCTTAGACCAGTTGACACTTACCAGGTGATCACACTAACTACCTGTACATCTGTGGAAATAGACTGGTACTGGTATCACAGCCAAAAATCAATCTGAGATGCTACCTTTTACAGCCAAAAATCAATCTGAGAGGCTTTGCCAGTAAATAAACAATGGCTACCTTAAAGTGGATTTAAACACATTAAACCTGGGCCAGATAAGCAGCTGGCAGATCAGACAGATGCTGAGCATTCATGTGAGAGTCCTGTGTTCAAATCACTAGAAACAAATGATAGATACTATTTTTATTTTTTTTAAACACTGTTAACAACACGGTTCATGGTGACAGCACCAGCCATGTGACCCTAAATCCCTCAGTCCTAAACTAGCCACACACACGCAAACACACAAAAAAACCATGCAGATGAGTGTCTTTTTCTCTTAAATCACTGCACTAGTAGACAGTTGAGCTAGCCATTGTCCTAATGAGGCCTGTTTCGCAAAAAGTATATGTAAGCTGACTCTTGTCAAGTTATCCCTCATGATTTTCTTCAGTGGAGTCTCCCCCCCCCCCCCCCCCCCCCCCCCCCCCCCCGCAAAAAAAACATCATAGGAATCAAACTAAAAATTCCATAAGTACTTTTGGGACATCCTGTATGTATGAGAAATTTACAACACTCTAAAAAAAATAATACAGTATTGTTCAGTAACCAAACATAAGCCTTGTTTTCAAATTCAAAAGTAAGTGAGTTGCATTAATTAACAAAACAATGACTTGCCTTATAAAAGCCAACAATTTTTTTAAAAAGTTGACACAGCTGTAAGCAAACAATCACTTAATTAGAATAACATGTTCTTTGCAAGTAACACATAATGTTAACATTTAATATGCACTGTCAAAGCATATATTTTGACGGCCAAACTGGCAACATATTTATTTTTGTCAAGTTACAAAATGTGTATCCTATTTAAAATACATGGTGCTAATGTAACAATAGTGCTGTTTTATACAGCTGATCCCCTTCTGCGTTCTAGCACCCCTTTGTGGTGAAGGTACAGACCCACCGCCCTCTAACAAGTGTGTCACAAATGGGACCAATTAAGGGTTTCCTGTGTAGGGCCAGCAACAACCTCACCCTCAGCTTTAGCTCTCATACCAGGAGCTGCATATAGCCTCTGTTTAGTTTAACCAAAGTCATTGTGTTTAACCCTTCTCTGCTAGAAATGCTAAAAAACAAAGGTTATAATATAAATATGTGGAAATTCTCCCTTCTCCCCCCCCCCCCCCCCCCATGTAATTACTGCAATATTTTTGTAATTTATTTATGTATATTTAAACAAAAAATTGTTAAAACAATTATAAAGATATATAAAGGAAGTGAAGTAACAGGGGGTTTTATATATATTTATTTCGATCGGGTGACTCGTGCTGTGACCCCTATCATTGCAGCTACAGGAAATTTTCACATCACATTGGCTTTAACAAATCAATTCAGTTCACAGGAGAACCTTCTAAATGCTATTCACAGTAATTATTTGAACGTCCAAGTCTTATAAATGCAGTGCAGGTGCAAATTCAACCAATGGCATTTGACTACGCTTTTCAAGAACTGGGCACTGCAGAAATGCTGATACATCTCTATTTACAGGACTGTGCCATAACCAGATTTGAGTTTCTCGGGACAACAGGGTTAAACCAAATAATTATTGCACCATAAATCTTTGGTATTTTCTTTACTGTTATAAAATAAGTTGTTGTACTTACTTAGATATGATGATACAAATCTTTGGTATTCTTGTCAGTCTTAAACAATGAATCTATAATATCAGCTGATGAAGGTAAAACTTCAACAACAACAAATGCAATCAAGTATCACAAAAGACATTCATAGACATAGGTAAAGAAAATTCAAGACTGGGGACTCAGAACTTTGCCCATGTGGAAAGGTAGCCTAGAATAACGCCAATGTGCTGCAGGTACAAGCTTGTTAGTATGTTCTTTAAATGCACAAGAGAGATGCTAATTCTGACATTCTGGTGGGGGGGGGGGGGGGGGGAGGCTGTATGGATCAGCAGAGGACATGTGCTGCACCACAGCCTTCAAATAGGCCTGTGACTTATTTGAAAATCACTGGCAGAGAGAAGAAAACCACAAGACCCAGATACCTTGTTTCATCTTTTCTTCTTTTCTTCATCTTGGGGCACAGATGCCTTATGACCTTGTTTCATCTCTCTTCTGTCCTAAGGCACAGATGCCTTATGACCTTGTTTCATCTCTCTTCTGTCCTAAGGCACAGATGCCTTATGACCTTGTTTCATCGCACTTCTGTCCCGAGACCTTGTTTCATCTCTCTTCTGCCCTGATGGAGATGTCTTGTGACCTTGATGCATCTTAACTTCATCTTGCCCACAGATGCCTTGTGACCATGTTTTCCCCTCTTCTGCCCCGAGACATAGATGCCTTGTGACCATGTTTTCCCCTCTTCTGCCCCGAGACATAGATGCCTTGTGACTGTGTTTCATCTCTCTTCTGCTCGGAGGCACAAGTACTTGTGACCTTGTTTCATCTCTCTTCTGCCCGAAGGCACAGATGCTGTGTGACCTTGTTTCATCTCTTTTCCCCCCGGAGGCACAGATGCCTTGTGACGTTGTTTCATCTCTCTTCTGCCCGGAGACACAGATCCCCTATGACTACATGGAAAACAAACCACAGACAAGTAGAGTGACCAACTAATATGCTATAACTTTACCACTAAGACACCTGTACACAACAATGGTACCAACAGTAAACAGCACACCCAAAAACAATTATAGAATACACCCTGGTACAAATGGTACTAGACAAACTAAAGTAAAATTAAAGAATTCACTTCGGTACAACCAGCTGTACATAATGCACCCAAGTATGATTCTAGAAATCACCATGGTTACATGGTACACACACACACACACAAACTGTAGAGAACACACTCAAGCTCAATGATAGAATTCACCCTGGTTAACCATCTGTAATTGCTGCTAGGAATCTGTGAGCTGATCACTGTAAGTACACTCATCATCCCCAAATAAATGCACATCTGATTTTAACAAACTATTCCTTTGAGGAATTCCTCCATCACCTGGAAATTTGCCTTTTATCTGATCCGCTTCTGTTGTCCCTTCTGTGGTTGAGCCCTGTAGAGAATGCTGCCATGGAATGAAGCCACCTGTCTTTGGTTGAGCAGTCTGAGGTGGAGCCTCAGCCACAAAGGAACCTTCCTGTTCTGTTTGGTTACCTTGTTCATCTGTGAGACATTCAGCAAATGGGTCTGTGGGTGACTGTTTATCAAGGTCCTGAGTGTACAAACAGGATTCGTCCATGCTGCTCTGCAACGGAAGATCTGGTAAAGAGGATGTCATCAGGGTGTCTTCCTCTTCTTGTAGAATTGTTGGAGGTGTATTTTCATCATCATCATCATCTGTCCCAGCATCCCCGACTCGTTCCTCCATAAGGGCTCCACTTCGTACTGACGACGGAGACAAATCAAAGAAACGGTGGCTACCAAAACTTCCCCGAGAGCCCATGCTGAGATCTGCACCAGAACCTCCTCCAGGCAAACCCACCTCAAGCGGCACAAGCTCAGCGATGGGGTCACTGTGTATAACATCACGGGAGCGAAATTTGAAAACATGAGACCACATGGGCTCTGAGGCCGGAGACTCGCTGCGGCTTGTATTGTCTGTGAACACGCTATCCCCATCGAACAATGTTTCCGTGACAGCAGTCTCTGAAGCAGCTTTCGTTACCGAGCTCCCTGAGTTTTTCTTTTGCAGCGCTTGCTTGTTGCCACTATGATGACTTTTATTACCATTTTTGATTTGACTGCTCAGACTACCACTAAAATTTTGACTACAGCTTTCCACAATGTTGTCTGAATGCCGGCTGACCTCCCACTGTAACCTCCCTTTTCTGCTATTGTTTTTCTCTCTCACAGTCGGACTAAGGAACCAATCAGATCTCTGCCGCAGGCGTTCAAGCTGTTTCCTCTTGACTGAGTTATATCGACTAAGACACCGACTTTGGTAGTGAGAACGAACTTCATTTAAGTTGTCCTCCAGTGACTTCGGGCGCTGCAATTAAACATTCACATATAAAGATAGAAGTGTGCCAGTGAAATCTATAAAAACATGAAATTGAAAGCTAGAGTGCATATTACTTCATAAAATTGTCAACAGCCAGCCTCTGCTTTGAATGGGTAGACAGCATTAGGGGGTTGAATGTGAACTCACTCACCTAGATCTTCATTCTAGGCATACCAGCAAAGCCTGGGAGTACCTCACTCACCTAGATCTACACATTGGGCATGTCAGCAGAGCCTAGGAGTATCTCTCTCACCTGGATCTACAAGCTGGGCATGTCAGCAAAGCCTGAGAGTACCTCTCTCAGCTGGATCTACAAACTGGTTATACCAGCAAAGCCTGGGAGTACCTCTCTCACCTGGATCTATACGTTTGGCATGCCAACAAAGCCTAGGAGTACCTCTCTCACCTGGATCTACAAACTGAGCATGTCAGCAAAGTCTGGGAGTAAAGTATGATGCAGCCCGTCTATACCTTCTCTGAGGACACGACGGAAGAGATTATAATCAACTTCTAATTGGAACAACCAGAAATCACTACTGGAAAATATAAAGACCTTGTGACAGAAGTCACTGAAGCAACAGCTGCCTAGGTTGGAAAGTATAAAGACCTAGTGACAGAAGTCACTGAAGCAACAGCTGCCTAGGTTGGAAAGTATAAAGACCTTGTGATAGAAGTCACTGAAGCAACAGCTGCCTAGGTTGGAAAGTATAAAGACCTTGTGACAGAAGTCACTGAAGCAACAGCTGCCTAGGTTGGAAAGTATAAAGACATTGTGACAGAAGTCACTGAAGCAACAGCTGCCTAGGTTGGAAAGTATAAAGACATTGTGACAGAAGTCACTGAAGCAACAGATGCCTAGGTTGGAAAGTATAAAGACATTGTGACAGAAGTCACTGAAGCAACAGCTGCCTAGGTTGGAAAGTATAAAGACATTGTGACAGAAGTCACTGAAGCAACAGATGCCTAGGTTGGAAAGTATAAAGACCTTGTGATAGAAGTCACTGAAGCAACAGCTGCCTTGTTTGGAAAGTATAAAGACCTTGTGACAGAAGTCACTGAAGCAACAGCTGCCTAGGTTGGAAAGTATAAAGACCTTGTGATAGAAGTCACTGAAGCAACAGCTGCCTAGGTTAGAAAGGGTTTCTCTTAGCTTTCATCAACTGTAAACTCCAGCACACTTCTTTCCTCTCAGTCTGTCTTTTCTTTTCATTTTCTGTATGCACCTATGCCTTATGTCTGTGGGTGTATGCTGGTCTGTCTGTGTCAGTATGCATGAATGCCTGCATGTATGTGTCTGTATGTATGTATCTGTGAATGTATAAATGTATATTCGCATGGGTGTATGTGTAAATGTATATATACATGGATGTATGTATGTAAATGGGTGCAAATGTTTGTGTGAGAGTGAGTGACTGTGTTTTTCGCTTGGTATTCATTATATGCGTATTATTATAACATGCTTTATTGATAAACTATAACTGCTGTGTAAGGAGAGATGAGTGTTCGGAAGGGCCAAATGTAAGACAGGACTGTGTGCCCATTTGTGAGCCTTTAAAAGAAGTTTGTTCTTTCTCCCTCTCTCTTTTCCATGTTTGTGTTTCTCTGATACATGCAATCCCACATATGCGCTCAGCCAAATATCTTGTAAATGAAAAAAGTGACACACAGAATAAGACAACAAGGGAGACAATTCATGAGTCAGACATACAGAGCATCACAGAACCCCACAGAGGAAGTGAGAGAGAACACATAAATCCCAATGACACATTCTGCAAAGAGAATATATAAATCACCTGTGACACATTATGTGCAGCAAAAGTGAGAGAACATTTAATCACTTTTGACACATGCCACATAGCAGCAGTGTGAAATATAAATCATCTATGACACATTCCGCACAGAGGTAGTGTAAGATAACATATAAATCACCAATGACACATTAAGCACAGCAAAAGTGAGAAAACATATAAATCACTTTTGACGCATTCCATCAGCCACGCACACAGAAACACACAGAGGAAGTGAGAAAGATGAGAGAGAAAACAAATCACCTTTGACACGTCCGGCGAGGGAACAAGCGAGACTTCAGGGGCAGACAATGTGGATGTATTGATGATCAGTTGATTGTCAAAACTGCCCTTTCCCTCTCTTGAATGTCTGACTGGTGTTAGGACTGACTGTGGGTTCTCATTACACTCCATTTCTTTCTCCTCCTCTTCATCCTTTTCTTCCTCATGCTCCATTCTTGTCACCTCAATAATGTCTGTTCTTTCCTCTGTAAAATATAACACAATTTAAATCCAGCAAACCTTCACATATCATACACTACCTAATTGCAAATTTCAAGCGGCACTCACATAATTATTAAGTCGTTATTTATATCAGATATGTTTTAGTTATCCAAACAACATGTATTTTAGTTACTCATATCATAAACATTTTATTTATTCTCATAACATATATATAAGTCTCTCATATCATAATATTTTAGCTACATACACAACATATATATTAGTTATTATATCACGAATTTCCTCCGAAATCGGAGTGCATCTGCCGGAGAGGCGGGGAACGAGAACTGCAAACAAATAAGCCAGTAAAACGGATGTACACGCAAAACTCAGGTCAAGGTAAAAGCCAAAAGTCCATTTTGGACGAACAACCGCGACTTACCGCCGGAATTCACAGCCGGTGAACAAGAAGAAGAAGAAAAAAATATCACAAATATTTTAGCTACATACACAACATATATATTAGTTATTTACATCACAAATATTTTAGCTACATACATAACATATATACTAGTTATTTACATCACAAATATTTTAGCTACATACATAACATATATACTAGTTATTTACATCACAAATATTTTAGCTATTCCCATAACAAATATTTTAGTCAATCATATCATAAAAATTTTAGTTATTTTTTTGTGAGTTCTTTCTAGAATGCGCCTCTCATCCCAGCTGACAGAAATTGGTCCTTTAGCAGATTTTCCGCATAGTGCCTTTTCCTACCCAAGATGTCACTTATATCCGCCGGCAATCTTCATACCCCTGCCCTTTTATCCTGGCACTATGTCCTCTGCATCCATTTCTTCCCAATCCGTGATGGCACTTGATATTATTATCAAATAATTTTTTTAATACATGATGCAGCACCTTTTCTTTGGCGTATTATATTATGTAAGGCTTACATTTACTTTTGTGCCCCCCCCCCCTCTTCCCCCCGATATTTTTTAAACATAAACTATAAGTTACAGTTGTTAACAACAATAAACTCGCAACTCTACATGGAGCTTTCACTTACGTGGAATGGACTGAGTGTCTGCAACAAACGTATACTGGTACAGCTCTTGTATATGTATGCCTGTATGGGTTGCCTCTGTAAAAAAGCGGATGTTCTCAAAGCCAAACATGTCTGCCACACCAAAGTTGTCAATGAGGAACTGCATAATACGGCTAGCCTTTTCAACCTGATTGAGTCAATCATTCAAATATATCAGACGGTCAATCAGATAGATATATGCTTCACTGTTCAAACATTACAGAACAATTGTACAATTGTGTGATTTAAATAAAAACTCAAAATACCCATGGATGTTGAGAACACTATTCAGAATACAGGGAGAATAATGATGAGAATCCTGTTAGAGAATACTGGGATTTTAAAGCTGTGAATATCGTTAAGAAGAATGCTGAGAATAAATTTGAGGATATGGTTAAGAACATCAAGGACAGTGAAGGAACAAACACTGAGGTAGCCAGAGCCTTTTTAGGTGTTTACCAGATCAGCATCAAAACCTTCAGAGAAAGTCACCTGCAGTTTATGGGACAACAGATGGGGTGAAACAGAGAAGATAACTTTAGACACAACAGATGGGGTGAAACAGAGAAGATAACTTTAGACACAACAGATGGGGTGAAACAGAGAAGATAGCTTTAGACACAACAGATGGGGTGAAACAGAGAAGATAACTTTAGACACAACAGATGGGGTGAAACAGAGAAGATAACTTTAGACACAACAGATGGGGTGAAACAAAGAAGATAACTTTAGACACAACAGATGGGGTGAAACAGAGAAGATAACTTTAGACACAACAGATGGGGTGAAACAAAGAAGATAACTTTAGACACAACAGATGGGGTGAAACAGAGAAGATAACTTTAGACACAACAGATGGGGTGAAACAAAGAAGATAGCTTTAGACACAACAGATGGGGTGAAACAAAGAAGATAGCTTTAGACACAACAGATGGGGTGAAACAAAGAAGATAACTTTAGACACAACAGATGGGGTGAAACAAAGAAGATAACTTTAGACACAACAGATGGGGTGAAACAAAGAAGATAGCTTTAGACACAACAGATGGGGTGAAACAAAGAAGATAACTTTAGACACAACAGATGGGGTGAAACAAAGAAGATAACTTTAGACACAACAGATGGGGTGAAACAGAGAAGATAACTTTAGACACAACAGATGGGGTGAAACAAAGAAGATAACTTTAGACACAACAGATGGGGTGAAACAAAGAAGATAGCTTTAGACACAACAGATGGGGTAGAACAAAGAAGATAGCTTTAGACACAACAGATGGGGTGAAACAAAGAAGATAGCTTTAGACACAACAGATGGGTGCAACAGAGAATGCAGTCTTAGACAAAACGGATGGGGTAGAACAAAGAAGAATGCTTTAGATGCAACAGATGGGAAGAAACAAAGAATACAATCTTAGACACAACAGATGGGAAGAAACAAAGAATACAATCTTAGACACAACAGATGGGAAGAAACAAAGAATACAATCTTAGACACAACAGATGGGAAGAAACAAAGAATACAATCTTAGTCACAACAGATGGGAAGAAACAAAGAATACAATCTTAGACACAACAGATGGGAAGAAACAAAGAATACAATCTTAGACACAACAGATGGGAAGAAACAAAGAATACAATCTTAGACACAACAGATGGGAAGAAACAAAGAATACAATCTCCCCCCCCCCCCCATAGACACAACAGATGGGAAGAAACAAAGAATACAATCTTAGACACAACAGATGGGAAGAAACAAAGAATACAATCTTAGACACAACAGATGGGAAGAAACAAAGAATACAATCTTAGTCACAACAGATGGGAAGAAACAAAGAATACAATCTTAGACACAACAGATGGGGTGAACAAAGAATACAATCTTAGTCACAACAGATGGGAAGAAACAAAGAATACAATCTTAGACACAACAGATGGGAAGAAACAAAGAATACAATCTTAGTCACAACAGATGGGAAGAAACAAAGAATACAATCTTAGACACAACAGATGGGAAGAAACAAAGAATACAATCTTAGACACAACAGATGGGAAGAAACAAAGAATACAATCTTAGACACAACAGATGGGAAGAAACAAAGAATACAATCTTAGACACAACAGATGGGGTGAACAAAGAATACAATCTTAGACACAACAGATGGGGTGAACAAAGAATACAACTTGTGTGCAAACCAGACAGGTGGAGGAAGACAGACTCACATGTTAAATAACAGTGTGACAAAATCTTCCGCAGACAACATGACTTATTTCTCAGTGCTCTGGTGTGAACTCAGGCCAGCCACACTGACCACTACAACGGTCTATGATTCCCATGGCACACTAAAATATAACGCTATCAGCTGAGATGACAGAAAGGGCCAACAATGTTCACAATAATGTTAAGAATACTAATTAGACTGATGTTAGTATGATGATGAAAAGGTCAAAGGTTGGAACTCTACATCAAGGCAGATGTTTTTCTAAAAAAAACTGACCTTGGCTACAAGACAGACCCAGCCTATAATCAGTACCAGGTAAGGACCTGAGAAGTAAATGTGGCCAGAGTTATTTTGACCCACGCAGTGGCAATAGGTCTATATAAAATACAGGTCCGGCATAAACTGCATCAAAGTGACTTTTTTTTAAAATGTTTTTTTTAATAAGAGCCTCCCCCACCCCCCAACAAACATGTACAAGTAATCATAGATCAGTGCTCCTATGTCTGCCCCATACCTTGGCAGGGTCCTCTGCGCAGGTGTGAAACATGCTGCCAGCGACACTGCGGGACAATGCCTCCACTGACATGCTGTTCTGCTCTTGGAAAGTGACGATACGAAACCAGGTGCCGAACAACAAGGCAATCAACTGTTGGTGAGCAGTTGTTAGGGTCTCTATAAAACTAGGATGCCAAAAGAAAAGCAACCAAAACAATATTAGAATATTGTCCGAACAATGGTTACATATCATAATCTGTTAAAATAACCACTAATTACTGGTATCAAGTCAGTTAATAGATTACAATGGCTGAAGCAAGTAGAGAGAATGGCAGACAACAGAGAAACACAAAGTGTGTACACACACATAAAAAGAAGTGAGTGTGGGTAGATTATAGGACAGACTGAGAAAGATAATAGAGATGCATGAAATCTGCAGCAATGAACCTCATGGACTCTGAAGGCTGAAGAAGAAGGTTTACATATTGTGTCACAACCTTGCAAAATGTGTTGCCTATTATATTTCACTGTATCTCATCAGGTACGGTACTCAATAATGAAGAAGCACAAAAACTATTACACAATTAAACCTGCACAGTATATTGCCATACTGTACACTTATTATTTAAATGTATATATAATTTAACTTGAAATATGTTTATTTAACAAACATCAATTTTAATAATTAATACACATATAAAGATTCTCTTCTCTAGTCCACCATCTAATACAGCAGTCAATAGAGGTCCATCTTCCAGTACAACAGTGACTAGCAAAGACCACTATTCTCTCATCTTGTCCATCTTCCAGTACAACAGTGACTAGCAAAGACAACTATTCTCTCATCTTGTCCATCTTCCGGTACAACAGTGACTAGCAAAGACCACTATTCTCTCATCCTGTATCTTGTTCATCTCCCAGTACAACAGTGACAAGCAAAGACAACTATTCTCTCATCTTGTCCATCTTCCAGTACAACAGTGACTAGCAAAGACAACTATTCTCTCATCTTGTCCATCTTCCAGTACAACAGTGATTAGCAAAGACCACTATTCTCTCATCTTGTCCATCTTCCAGTACAACAGTGACTAGCAAAGACCACTATTCTCTCATCTTGTATCTTGTTCATCTCCCAGTACAACAGTGACAAGCAAAGACAACTATTCTCTCATCTTGTCCATCTTCCAGTACAACAGTGACTAGCAAAGACCACTATTCTCTCATCTTGTCCATCTTCCAGTACAACAGTGACTAGCAAAGACCACTATTCTCTCATCTTGAATCTTGTCCATCTCCCAGTACAACAGTGACTAGCAAAGACAACTATTCTCTCATCTTGTCGATCTTCCAGTACAACAGTGACTAGCAAAGACCACTATTCTCTCATATTGTATCTTGTCCATCTCCCAGTACAACAGTGACTAGCAAAGACAACTATTCTCTCATCTTGTCGATCTTCCAGTACAACAGTGATTAGCAAAGATCATTAAGTCTCTCTACATTGCTGCTATGTCACAAGCAGCTCATTACTCTATGCCTTGACAAGATTAAGTGCCATTTCTGTCTTTGTATTCTGTTGGTTTTGTTGTTGTTGTTGTTGCCATTAACTCTTCTAGTTATATTCTAGTTTAGCCGACCTCCTTCTGTGTAATAACTGACGACCACATGGAAGATACAGAATCACAGTAAGTGACATTAGAAAAGAAAATCATCCAGTTGTGCATACTTGTGTACAGCTTTGATCTGGTCCACTTTATGGACAAAGCTGAGTACATTCAGCAGCTGGGCTTCCCCCTCAGGTGTGAACACTCCACCTGGTATCTTCAGCAAGAACTTCTGAAAGTATATTGTACAACAAGACTCACTGGCACAGTACATAACAAACCAGCCACTGCTACAGCACATCACAAGCAACCTACACACTACTGTACTACATTAAAAATCCCTCTCTGTTACAGTACATTAACACAAATTATTCACTGTTCTGAAGAAACAATATGATACTCACTCTCTTTTAAACTAGAAATGTACACAGGAAAGACATTTTTTTTTTAAATTTAATGTTTGTGGTTTTGTAAGTCTGGTAACTAAACCGTTCTAGAACTAATTCTGTTGAGGTAACTTACTCTTTAAAGGTAATTTGTTCTGCTCAGGGAATCTGCTTGGCACAGGTAATTTACTCTGTACAAGAAATTAACTCAACTCAAACTTACCCTGCTCTTTTACTTTGCTCAAGTAACTAACTCTGCTTTAGTAACCAGGTAACTCACTCAGCTCAGGTAACTTACCCTACTCTGCTAACTTACTTTGCTCAAGTAACTAACTCTGTTTTAGTAACCAGGTAACTCACTCAGCTCAGGTAACTTACCCTGCTCTGCTAACTTACTTTGCTCAAGTAACTAACTCTGTTTTAGTAACCAGGTAACTCACTCAACTCAGGTAACTTACCCTGCTCTGCTAACTTACTTTGCTCAAGTAACTAACTCTGCTTTAGTAACCAGGTAACTCACTCAGCTCAGGTAACCCACCCTGCTCTGGTAGCTTACTCTACTCCTGCAACTAACACTGTTGTTACCTAATGCTTTTATAACTAATGTTGTTCAATTAACCAAAGCTGGTCAACACACAACATATCTTAACAACTTATGCCCAACTCTTCACACACAACATACCTTAACAACTGATGCCTAACTTAACACACAACGTACCTTAACAACTGATGCCTAACTTAACATACAACGTTCCTTAGCAACTGATGCCTAACTCAACACACAACATATCTTAACAACTAATGCCCAACTTAACACACAACGTACCTTAACAACTGATGCCTAACTTAACACACAACGTACCTTAACAACTGGTGCCTAACTTAACATACAACGTACCTTAGCAACTGATGCTTAACTCAACACACAACATATCTTAACAACTGATGCCCAACTTAACACACAACGTACCTTAACAACTGATGCCTAACTTAACACACAACATATATTAACAACTGATGCCTAACTTAACACACAACATACCTTAACTACTGATGCCTAACTTAACACACAACGCACCTTAACAACTGATGCCCAACTTAACACACAACATATCTTAACAACTGATGCCTAACTTAACACACAACGTACCTTAACAACTGATGCCCAACTTAACACACAACATATCTTAACAACTGATGCCTAACTTAACACACAACATATATTAACAACTGATGCCTAACTTAACACACAACATACCTTAACAACTGATGCCTAACTTAACACACAACGTACCTTAACAACCGATGCCAGCGTGTAAAAACTATAATTGGCAAAGATGACCTGTTTTCCTTCAGTCAACCGTTTCACAATTCTTCTAGTGTCATTTGGATTTCCCGGCCGGCGAAACAAATCGGCCGTCGCAGTTCCTTCCTTGGCAATGTGAACTAGTATCTCCTGAAACGGAGAAAGATAATGTTCCACTGAAAGTGCCTTATGCACAAAAAACTACAAAATCCCTCTGGCAATAAACTATACAAAGGTCATGGAACAGGCATGTTGGAGAAATTACTGAGGAACACACAGTTCTTGGTTCAAGAAGATTTGGTGTTTAGCTACCCTAATAAGCATTATTAAGTTGTCCCACACAAATATGAAAGGTACAATCAACTCTCACAGTGTAACATTGGAGGAGTTTGTAATCAACAATGGAGTGAATCATGGATACCTACTTGCTCCCACTCTCTTACAAATATACTTCTCACTTCTTTTGAAATATGCCTTTTGAGGTCAGGAGGGTGGTATATTCTATCATTCTCAATCTGATAGCAGTTCCTACAATGTGTGTAAGCTGAAAGATAAAACCTGGAGAAGGAAAGTACTTATCAGAGAGCTGCTGTTTACAAATGATGCAACAATGACCCAGAGAAGAGCTGCAATGTTCACTATCTGCATTTGCTAATGCAAGCTGCGAATTTGGACTAACAATCAGCAAAAAGAAGACAGATTATGGTGCAAGGTGTTAATTATAGAACTGCAATCTACTCTAATAGTGAACAGCTGGAGACAGATTAACAAAAAGTTTGGGAGAACAGAAAGGTCACTATTAAAATACACAAAAAACGCACACACTAAAATTCTATAGTCTGAGCACTCTTCTTTACGGCAATAAAACTTGGTCAACTTATTCCTACTAGGAGATACAGCTAAATAGCTTTCACATGTGATGCCTAAGAACAACGCCTGGCATTAAATGGTAACACTAAGGTATTGGAAAGAGCAAGTATTACAAGTTTTCTCAATGTTCAGCCTCCAAAGGCTCAGGTAGCTGGGTCACACCTGGAGAATGGAGGATGGCAGAGTCCCTAAGGACATTCTCTATTGTGAATTACAGATGGGTAGAAGAGATCAAGGTCGGCCTCTATTATGATATACAGATGTGTGCAAGAGATAATTTAACAGGAAAAAGACAGTGGTAATGTGGGAAACGACATGAGAGTTATTAGAATAGGCAGAAAAGAAGAGAGGTAATGTAACAGGGCAAAGACATAAGAGATAATGCCAAAAGAAGACAAGAGAGGTAGTGTAACAGGAAAAAGAGATGAAAGGTAATGTAGCAGAGCAAAGACATGAGAGGTAATGCAACAGGAAAACATGAGAGGTAGTATAACAGGGAAAAGACACAAGAGGTAATGTAACAGGGAAAGGACATGAGAGGTAGGACACTGGACAGTGTTCAGTGAAGTGAAAGAAAGGGAGGAAGACAGCTAGCCACTTATCCCATACAGTTATGACTTAGCACATCTGACCAGTCAATAACAATACCTACTTTTGTATCTGGTCTGGCTGAGATAGCTGCTGCCTTACAAGGCACTGGTGGGGTGTGGTCATCAATAACCAATGTGCGACTCTACAAATAATGAAAAGAAGAGGCTCACTCACCACAAGTGGGCCTGGAAGGTAGCCATGTTTTAGAGATGATGACAGGGAGGCGCCAAACTTCAGTCTAAAAAACGTAAGAACAATCATGCAGTATTCAGTTAACACAAAAACAAAATTTAAAAACCAACAGTAATATCACAAAAGCAATAGTATTATCTCCAAAGCAATACAAAACTGGTAAACAGACATGAGCATTTAGGAAAAAATATTGCTGAGAACAACTAATAAAAAATATAATGGCATCAACTCATCATGTCATTATACATCTCTAAAGATGTCATGACACTCAGAAGGTACTGCAGGGATCAAATTCCTGTGGCCATAGACACAAGTGAGGGAACTGATAGATCAGCATTCAGACCCAGAAGATATCATCTCCACAGATTGATTTGTGAAGTGCCAATCAAGGTCAGCATTGGCATACACAGTGCAAACAAATGGGGAAAACAATACAGGAGGACAGCGGCGCTTACCAGACAACCATGTCAAGCATGACCATGGAAATAGCCGCTGCTTCTAGAGCATTAGCATGGGTATCCGAGCAAACCGCCACACAGGCAGTAATTGTATCAGACTCCATGAATATGCTTCAGAAGAAAGCAACAGGCGGTGTGCGCTCTGAATGGGTAGAAAGCATTCGAAAATCACACTTAACCTCCCTCACCTGGTCATGCGGGCGTAAAGGGAAATGAGCAAGCGGAAACTGGCAAGTACTGCACTAAGGTATGTGGGAAGAAGCATGGACAGAGCAGATACCAACAACGCTGTACAGACTGGGCTAGTGGATAATGAGGAATCCCTTACACTAACACGATTGCGTGACATGGGAGTAAAGCATGGTGAAGCATGTCTATGCCGTCTTCAAGGCCGAGATAGGAGACAATATAACAAGCTTCTCATGGGAATAAATAGTAGAAGTACTTTGGAGTGGCTGCTCCATCAGAGGACTGAGCACACATGGGAATGCCCAATGTGCAGTGACATTCATTGTGATAACATAACATAATATGTCATTATACCCTGTCAGATGAGACAAAGCCACCAGGAACCACTCTGTCATATAAGACAAACCCACCAAGAACCACTTTGTCAGATGAGACAAACCCACCAGGAACCACTCTGTCAAACGAGACAAACCCACCAGGAACCACTTTGTCAGATGAGACAAACCCACCAGAAACCACTATGTCAGATAAGACAGACCCACCAGGAACCACTCTGTCAGATGAGACAAACTCACCAGTAACCACTTAGTCAGATGAGACAAACCCACAAAGAACCACTCTGTCAGATGAGACATTTAAACTTATCAGGAAGCTTTCACAGTCAGACATTATGAATGCAATAAGTGATGTCTTCACAGAACTTAGTGATTATGACTAATAACCCTTTTGCCCTGGGAAGACTAATAAATTCTGTAAAAATGCATTTAAAATGTTATATATATATATATTTTTTTTTTTTTTTTTAATATGTTTTGGGTGACTCATGCAATGACCCTGTGACTTCTATCATTGAAGCTTACAAGAAAATTGAATTTCAACTATTTTTAGTTAATGTATTCTCAGAGATGTGGTTTTACAGAAGAATGCTTAAAATACCTTGGACAGCTAAAAAGAGCAATCAAGAGGTTCTGAAAGAGGCGGGAGCCCGAAGACAACTTATCATAGACATCAGAAGGAGACAGTCATCATTTTTTGGCCATGTTATGAGAAGAGAGAAAATTGAACATGCTGTGACCACTGGAAAGATCTGCGGAAGAATGGATAGAGAAGACAATAAGAGAACATTCTTGACAGTCTTGCTGCATGGCATGAAGGTGTGTCAGTACACAAACTAATACATGCTGCAGGAGATTGGGGATTGTGGAGAGCCATGATCGCCCACGCCAGTAGGCAAGGCGCCTGATGATGATTCACATCCAGGCCTCCTAAATGTTAGCACAGGTGTGAATTCAGCCAATGGCGTTACCTATGTACCTCATAAACTGGTTACTATAGGCAGTTCAGAAAAGTGGCATTTACTGAAAATAGAACACAACCAGAAGTATCGGTTTTCAGATAATATGGGCAAAAAGGTTAAAACAACTGTAGTAATTGTAAAATATAATGGCGGCAAACATGACCATGATGGAGATGTTCATGAAGAAGATTCTGAACTTACTTCTGTGAACGGAGCGCTTCGTGCTGAGAACTTCGATCAGACACACATCCACTGAACACATTCCGAAACATGGCCAATCAGGACTCCCAGGCACTCAAATTCACAGATCCCTTATACAAATAAAGCCATCAAGGCACCGAGTTCACCAATGGAAGCAAAAGGTGCTGGCTTAGTAAACCCTGACAGGCAGTGATCTTCATAACTCTGGTGCTAATAGTTAGAACATTCTGGCCTCTGGTTGCCAGGAGATTGTGGGCTGTAATAAATGAAACAAAAATGCATGATCACACAACATAAACCACATAAAGTCAATTTCTCTGGTTCATTTATCCGTGTTCACCAGCTCTAAACTCTGGCAAGAGGTCCTGGTTGTTTATCTATTTCTGGATTTTGGTTTAGTTTCAAGATTTGCGTGTACATCTGTTTTTACATATTTGGCTTTTTTGTATGCAGATTGTTGATTCCTTGCTTCTCAGGCAGATGCATGCTGACTGTGAAGGAAACCTCTAATAAGTCTAGTCTTACAACCTGCTCTTGGGGAGCAGTACCCCCCCAGCACAGTAAACTCCCAGAACCCACATGGGGAACAGACATTGGGAGCTGAACATGAGAAAAGGGAAGCTAAGAATAAAAGAAGCATCACAAGGTATTTAGGAAGTTGTGGTGGCAATATGACAAGATACTTGCCTGCTGGCCGGCCCAGGCTTCAAATCCACACTGGGGGAGACATTTGGTTTGGGGGGGGCGGGGGGGGGGGGGGTGTGTGTTTTCAAAACATGTTTATTGAATAGTGTATGCCCTGTGTGGGAGAGATTTAAGATTCTTCTTCTTGCTCTTCTGGTTCTCTCGACCACAGATACACTGTGCAGTTGTAGAGATTCTCTAAAGTTATTCTTATATCTTGTTCTTGGTCTACCTCGTGATTTTATCCATCTCCTCTTCTGATGTATGCCTTGTGTGGTATGGCATCTAGCTGCTTTGCCACCACAGCTTCCCAAAGCACACCATAACCCCATTATGACCCCCATTATGACACCATATCCCTGATGAGCCAACTGCGTAAAGGGTAATAAGTGAGCGGCCCAACTGGAAAGCAATGCACCAACACATACAGGAAGAAGCATGGACACAGCAGAAATCATCAACGCTGTACGGACTAGGCAAGTGGATAATGACATTTTTTTACACTAACATTATTGCATGACATGATAGTAAAGCATGATGAAGCACATCTATGGCGCCTTCGAAGCCGAGACAGGTTACATAACCAATCCCTCATAGGAACAATTAGTAAAAGCACCGTGAAATGGCTGCTGCATTTGAGGACTGAGCACACACAGAAATGCCCAATATGCAGTGATGTCAACTGTAATAACATAACATACATGAGTTCCGGTGTTAATAATGCCAGTCCTAGGCTTGTTGACAAGACATCTTGCCAGTCATGCCTCGTTAAGCTGATCTCAACTGCCAATGTTCGCATTCTGAGCAGCAATGTTCCCAAAATACTTCCACTCTTCCATCTCTCTGAGGACATTAACACTGTCAGCCCCCCAGTGTCATGAATGGTCCCAGAAGACAGTTTTTGCCTTCTATATGGTTAGTAGCCCCATGATGATGATGAAGGTGATGGTGATGACACAAGCTTTCATGTGGCTGGCTTCACAGGACTATTGACTATCCCCACGTGTGTGTTGAGTAATTCCATGAGCATGATCTGGAGGGTCGGGGGTGGCTCTGTACATGGAAAGTGAAATGAGTCATTACAAAACAGGTGTTCCACAGTCCTGACATACCAAAGTTACACAAATATCCAGCAATCCGGTAGCAGAAAAAGCTGCTTTGATTTTCACAATAGTACAAAAACGTTCCTTCTTCTCTCTGACTTTCAGGATGAGACTTAGAAGGATGCATCAGATGCAAGACTTGGTATGTGCTACACAGATGGTATTTATGGCCCTTATTTATTCAATCTATCTATAACCTCTCTAGTTCTGCTCCCAATCTATCCATAACCTCTTCTGCTCCCAATTTGTCGAAGTGGCAATATTTTTTCTAGTGCAGTCTGGGGAAGTCTTGATACATTTTTGAATCATTTATCTGGGGTTTTTTTAAGCAGCTTAGTAGTGGTTCCGTCACAACTTATTTCCTGATGTCGTCATTTGTGATCCTGTCTTTTCTAGATACATTTAGGATTGACCACTGACATTTTATTTCTGTTGTTTCCAGTTTTCTTAAGAAAGTTGATTTGATTTATTAATATAGAAAGGAAACGAGGCAGGTTTAATGTCTCACAAGATTGAAAATATTAACTGCATGCTTACTGGCATAATGTAAATTAGCTATCCCACAGCCTATATGGGTAGAATAATGTTATCTGTATGAGTTAAGTTGAGAATTAACATCACAGCACTGAGGGCATTCTATGTGTGCTCCGTCCTCATGTTCAGCAGCCAGTGCAGAATTCCAATACTGATGTTACCAGTCACAATCTGGTTATATGTCCATCTTGCCTTTCCTCTGAGTGTAGTGAGCCGGCCAGACCCTCTGGTTACACCCAGATGCCTCATTCTCTCCAGGCCATAATAACCTTCTATCTCTACTGATTCTGTTGCTTGTTTTCAAAGGGCCTTGACCGCATTTGCTTGTTCATTACACACCATGCCAGCATCTCGTGGAGAAAAGACCCAAAGTATACTCACTACCCATGACCTTCCCAGTGAAGCTTGCCACTCTGCTCAAAGCATCCCCGTCTTCACCTTTCTCAGCATGCCTTCAGAGTCTGTTACAATTATGACATGTGTATGCATCTTGTTTTCTAGCCACTGGAGAGCTGCAGTTGCCACCTCCACCTCTATTCTCATGCTAGACGCTGTGCTGTCATATGCTAGGCTGTTTCGATACGAAACCCCAGGCACTTCTCTTCCCTCTCAACACCAAACCATCTGTATAGATAATCAGATCACCTGGGCGTGAATCGTCAAGAATCAACTGTTGGACTTCCACCTCCGTAGCACCTGCTGGCCACTCTCGGCACACCCGGCCTAATGTGATCATTTTATTTGCTCATGAGTCCCAGCTATTTAGTTTAGCCCCAATCCACGCCGTGTATAGCGGCGTTGGAGATACTCTCGGCGGTGACGGTATAGTCCCCAGGAGTCCGGAATTTGGCGGTGGCGGTATAGTCCCCAAGTGACACGAGACTGAGGCCCTGTTAGGGTATATTTTCGGCCTCGATAATTTGGGACAGTTATTCGGAAGATAGCCGAATTTTCCTCTGGTATTCTGACCCACTTCTCTCCTCGACCAATGTTCAGCATGTATACTTTTCTTGTCTTATTGATATGTCTTTTGCTGGAGCCATTTACGACTTTTCCCTTTTCAACCTATGACCCTTACCTTATCTGTATGATTAACTTTTATAACAATGAGGTCTTAACAATAATACCTGTGATAACAATCACAAACTCTGAATGATCAAATGAAACTACAAACAATTTTTGTAAAACAACAAATGGCAATGCTATAACAAAAATCAATCTAACAATCTATTAAACTGGAGACCTGTAACAAAGTACATTTATAGCACACTAAGACTAAAGCCATATTATTATTATTTACAAAACAAACAGACCACACAGCCGTCAATAAAAGACCACACAGCCGTCAATAAAAGTAAAAGAGTAAGACCACAATGCCGTCAATAAAAGAGTAAGACCACACAGTACAGTCACAGCCGTCAATAAAAGAGTAAGACCACACAGCCGTCAATAAAAGACCACACAGCCGTCAATAAAGACCACACAGCCGTCAATAAAAGACCACACAGCCGTCAATAAAAGACCACACAGCCGTCAATAAAAGACCATACAGCCGTCAATAAAAGACCACACAGCCGTCAATTTAAAAAAAAAATATTTAAAAAAAACGATCTTACTATGCCAAAGCCAAAGGAAATATAATGGCTAGCAAATTTCGGAAGAAACTGAAGTGTGAAAATTTAGATATTCAACAGTTGTTTATTTTTAACAACTTAACAGGTGTATAGCTGCGGCATTCAAACACTTGGACGTATATAAACACAGGTCGTCGATCTGCATACTCACATCTTATGTGTAAATTCAGCGAGCAAAGCTACATGTTGTGCAGTCAACGAAGAAATAAATAATCCCAGAAACGGAAGAAATACAAGTTAGGCAGCCGTTAGACGGCGGCTCGTATTATCTGTAGGCGTGACCCGGAAGTGAATGGGAAATGGTCTCAACAGACGTAAGTGTTTCCTGGTATAGGCCAGCCAACGAATTAGTCGCCTTTTACGACATGCTTCTCGGGGAAACGGTGGGTCTATTCATTTTTGACCCAGTCTAGGGCTCAGGAACCCACACGTGGATAAGTGGAAAAACTAATTATATAATAAGTGTACCCCGCCCTTACTATGTCTAAAACCGAAAATGTATATAGGGGATATTTCTTTTTAATAACAATAGAAATGAATGAACGAAGTATTTATACAATATATAAACGACAAAATTATATATTTAATATATCGTGGACACTATCATGACCTTTTTTAGCAGTACCTCCATGACCTCCCTCTTATCAGCCGCTGATCCTTAACTGCACTCAGAGCTTCATGCAGAGGGTGGTCTGTGTCTGCAGCTACCCTGAGATATGACTTCGCCTGCATCACCTTGTGCCTACCTGCAACCGTCGGCAAACCAAGGATGTATCGCATACACACCACTGGGGTGTCTCTGGTGCAACCCAGAATGACCCGCATAGCCGCGTTCTGTATGCGCTCTAGTTTGTCCATCTGACTCTTTGAGACGGTAAGCAGTCCCAAGCCATAATCCACCACTGACAGGATCAGGTGCTGATATAGTTTGAAAAGCATTCTCTGCTCTATGTCAATCGCAGGCATAGTCTTAAGTGCACTAAGACCTTTTTGGCATCTCGTCACAGCACTCTCCACATTGTCCTTATATGACAGGCTCCTGTCAAATGTAATTACCAGATACTTCAGTTTGCTCTCTCTGTTGACGTCTCTACCATCTATCGTGAGACTTGGGAC